TTCTGCACACTATTTCTTCAACATTTTTGTTGTTGTGGCCCATTCTCTCCCTCTTCTCCTTCTGGGATGCCAATTATACAGATGTCAGGTTTGTTTATATTGTCTGGCAGGCCCCTGATGCTGTGTTCATTTTTGTTTTCAATCTTTTTCCTGCGTTCTTCAGACTGAATCATTTCTATTGATCTAGCTCCAAGTTAACTGACTTGTCCTCTGTTATACTCATTCTGTTGTTAAGCCCATCAAGTACTTTTCTTTTTCAGATATTGCATTTTTCACCTCTGGAATTTCCATGTTTCTTTTTTTTTTTTTTTAGAGCAGGGTAAGGGATACCAGGAGCATTGACGGGTTTGCAATTTTTTTTTTTTTTGCTAGGAAAGATTAGCCCTGAGCTAACATCTACTGTCAATCTTCCTCTATTTCTTCTCTTCAAAGCCCCAGCACATAGTTGTATATTCTAGCTGTAAGTCCTTCTAGTTCTTCCATGTGAGCAGCCACCACAGCATGGCTCCTGACAGGCGAGTGGTGTAGTTCCACACCTGAGAACTGAACCTGGGCCACTAAGTGGAGCATGCCGAACTTTAACAGCTAAGCCACCAGGCCTGGTTCCATTCATTTCTTTTTGATGGTTTCTATTTTTCTGATACTTTCATTCATTGCAAACTTATTTTTCTATACTTCATTGGGAACAGTTGCTTTAAAATCTTTGTCTGTCAATTCCAACATTTTGGGTCATCTCAGGTTGGTCTCTGCTGATTATCTTTTCCCTTGAGAATAAGTCATATATTTTTTCTTCTTCTTATGTTATGTAATTTTGAGTTGTATCCTGGACATTATAAAAGTTACATTGTGGAGACTCTGGATTTTGTCATATTTCTCTAAAACTTAAAAGGAGTGTTAACATTTTTGTTTTAATAAGCAATTTATTACTTTGATGGAATCAAACTACAAAGTGTCTCTTGGATGACAGCTCAAATCAAACTTCAGTTTTTTTATCTGTAGATAGACTGCTTTGTGCCTGCCCCATGGAAGTGTGATTCAAGTATCTAATGTCGCTTGTTTGGGGTGTGTAGGCAGCCCCCACATACAAATGGCCTTTGATCTAGAGGATACTTCTTAGTCTACTGGTTTAACTCAGAACTCAGAATGCATTTCTATATAAACAATTTTGTTACCTTGAGTGGTTATATTAACAAACCAATTAAGTCACTTAACCAATTTGTACCCAAATCCAGCCATATTTACATTAGGAAAAGCAAACCAGTGGCTCGGTGTCCTGTTTCTCATATAATCAGACAACTGGAAAAATAACTCTGGTGTAGGATCACTTTTGCCAGTAAATTCTCCTGAAAAAGCAAATGTGTCAATTACCACTCCCCAAAACTCTAATATGAGAGGGACTTCTCCTTCTGGGTAAAATGTAGAACTGAAGGCATTTACTCCTGTAGTAACAATAAGAAAAACCCAGACAAAATAAAAATCATACTTTTCCATGAGGCTAGCAAAGAGCAGTGGATGCAAGGAAGCTGTGCTAGCCAGCCTCCAAGATGGTTCCCACGATCCTCCCCTCCTACTATTCATTCCCATACGGGGTCTCCTCATACAATGAAGAGGGTAGGTCTGTGTAATCACCAGGCTACAACAGAAATGACAGTGTATGACTTCAAGGCTAAGCCATAAAAGATAGTCCCATGCTCTAAATTTCCATCACTCTGTCTCTTTGTGGGTATTTATTTTTTGTGTTACAGTTATTTTTATATATTAAGATAAACATCTAAATTATGTTTTTTCCACAATTCGTAGCATAGTGCTGACTTGCTAGTTAATGCTCGATAATTATTTGACAAATAAATGAACATATAAAAAGGAGGTGCTAACTTTATTCACATTTCCACGAATATGAAAGATAATTTGGTGACACTTTTGAGATTTCTTGAACTTGTGCAACATTTGTTATTTGCTATTTTTATACCTGTTTATATGTTTTAAACTCCATTCTCTATTCTCCTTCTGAGATGTGAATTATACACATATCAGACTTTTTTATACTGTGCCACACGTCCCTAAAGCTGTGTTCATTTTGCTCTGTTGTTGCTTTATTTCTCTTAGACACTTACTCCAAAAAGGTAACGTAACTGCTGCAGAGACAGTACAGTACAGCAGAAGCTACTGTGTTCTTATGTTCGGGGCCTACATCCGGGCTAGAAGCAACATGTGATAGCAGTGGAAAACCAAGTGTGCTGATCCTAGGTTCTCAGCTTAAATATCACCTCCTTAAAGAGAATCAGCATTAAGTTTGTTCAATTACTTATTGTTCGCTTAGATCCCTGGCTAGATTATAAGGTCCACGAGGTGAGGTACTGAATTGTTTCACTCATCACCATACGGTCATTGTCTAGCATAGTGACCAAACAGAGTAGTTACTCAACAAATACTTGTTGAATGAACAAGTGAACCAAGATCCTTATCCAGAATCAAGAAGTGCTTTTTCTAGGTCTCAAGTACCCTTTTGCTCTTTATATTAGATTTACCTCATAAGCTTGTTCTACTCCTTACCCATCCCTTTCCCAAAGCACCCCCACTTTGACTTGGAATTGGGGAGTCCCTCTGTACATATTCAACACATAAACGGGATAAAAGAAAAAGGTTCCTTAATTCTGTTGCTAAGGCTTCAATAGTCACCATCAATTAGAATTCTGAACACATTTTGCCATGAAACAGTGTATAATTTTGGGGGTGCAAAATGGATTAAATGACTTTTTAATGAGCTGGCTAGGCACAGAACCACAAGAATTGCTTTTAAGAGAAATGCATTCTGAGTTGAACCAACAATCCATTTGTAAGTGGGACTGCCTATACTCCAAAAACTACTAATCTTAGAAAACTGATCGATACTATCCTTTTAATAATAATTTTATATATTTTCTTAATACTACTACTAAAATAAGATATTAAAGATGATAAAAAAAATGTAGACTACTAGCTAATATTTTGGCGTACTATGTATTTTCTCAAAGATTTGGAGCTCTCATAAAATTCACTACCTCTGCTATCAGATACCAAGTCAAGGATTAACAACTCTCTCTCTACTCAGCACAAATGGAACTTTCTGGCAGTCAATAACATCCATATCTAAACACCAAAGTAGAAGGCTTTTTATCTTAAGTGAAAGCTGCTCCTTATTGTAGTAGAGACTTAAATCACATTTCAGTGCAGCCTCTGAAGGCTTTGGTGCAGGAAAAACTACCTTCAGGCTAGGAGCTTGCTTGCATCATTCCATGTATCTCAGTGATTGAGGGCATCTTACTCCCCACTTAGAATAATTAGGCTACGTTATAGATCCTTTAGAACTCATTAGGATTAATGACTGAGTACTATCATAGCTGTCACAATCAGTTGTAGAAAAAAATCACTGAGCTAAAAACACGACACATTCTATTATCTCTGCTTCATAGAAGGTTCTGGAATACATCTCTGGGCTTGTATTTCATCAGCCTATATAGGCAGTGAACTCGTCCAGGGCTCTTCCAAGATAACAATTATATAATTTTTCCTAAGGGAAGGCTACTACTCCTAGGACTGCCCTCTCTAGAGCAATCACTGCTCAGTGCCCATCCCCTGGAGACATGCCAACAGAGGAATGGCTGTCCTCTAAGTACAAGCTCACAGTCATCTCTTTTCTTGCCAGAACCACATACAGTATGAATCAGGTGATACAGGGTGTTAGAAATTACAGGAGAGAGTCAAACATGCTGGCTAAGTAGCCTCACCGGTGGGCCAAGTATCTGTTGGGGCCCAGGGCAGGCCACCTCAAAATATACCACTAACGCATACTGATTATTTTGAATTAAAGTTACTTAAGAAGCAAAAAGGGCTTTCTGAGCTTCCTGTCTCTGTTCCCCTGAAAGCAGGAGATACATCTCCCCTGTGAAAGGCGCTCTCCCTGCGTCCTGATCCCCAGAGCCAGGGATGCAGGGCCGAGAAGCCTGCAGAAACAAACCCTGCTAACTTACTACCTCCAGCCTAAACTCTGATTAGATTCTTCACTAAGTACAAACCCCAAACCTCAGTTTCTTTCTCCTGTCAATTTTTCACAAAGTTATATTTCCTTCCATAAAAGATATACATAGTGCCTGTTTTGTTCACTCTCCGAGCATCATTCTTCATGGTCTCCAATATGAATGTATGAAACTGGGTTTTTCTCCTATAGTGTAGCCCGGTGCCAATTTCATTATTAGTCCAGCCATAAGAACACAAGAAGGGAAGAAAAGGGATTTTCCCAGCCCTCGACATATCCTTTGGCTACTTAATGAGGAAAATGAGGCCAGTCAAAAGCAGGTTCTGGTAGCTGAGCTGTCTTACACTAATCCCATACCACTCTGGGAACCACTTGAAAGTGGTTCTGCCCCACTGCTGTAGAAGAAGCTGAAGCTGTTTTTCTAAAAGCCTGACTGAGAAGGAAAGGTTACTGCTGCTATGAAATTAAAAGCCTATCATTTCCCATTAACTGAAACATCTTTTTGGTTGCTAGAATCATGATTTGTATTGAGAGACTATTTCAAATGTTGAGTTCTAAATATTTCCAGATGGAAAAGTTCTAGACACAAAGGCTGTTACCGTGGTAAAAATTGTCACTGTAGTGGAGTGCAGACAAAGAAAAGCTTCTAAACTAATGCTAATTCCTCCAGTGGCTTTCACTGATACTACTGGTTTATAATGGTATGCATGGATTCATTTTTCTTTTGACTGGAAAATAATAAACAACTCAATGACTGAACTCACAGCTTACTAACTGAACTTGAAGTGCAACACTTTAAATTGCTTGCCCAATATTCTTAGCTTCTGAGGGTATTTGGTTTAGCATCTTAAAGCCAAAGACAAAATTGAACAGGATTATCAAGGCAGTTCATTTATTTCTAAGTTATATCAGGACCAAATAATGAAACAGAAACAAAGCTAGCAAAAGAGTTGAGCTAGAGTAACAAATATGAAATCAGCCTTACCCATTGCACCCGACGACTTTATTGTACAGATAGGAGGGCAAGCCTTTCAGGTGGATGTTGTTATCCACGTACACATATTGTAGTTCTCGAGATCGACCTAAATCTGGATTAGAAAGAAAAGTACTATAATTCTTATAAATACGTACCAATATAATGTGAAATGTAAAATTTAATACATAATACTTGAGTAATTCAAAATTTCTATTCTGGAAGAAAAATTGTTGCAGATTTCACTCTGAATGTGAAATTAGGTCAGCTGCAATATTAGATTCTGCATTAGAAAACATGACTGTAGAAAAACTGCTTAACTCACCCGGACCATGATTTCTTAAACTATAAAACGAGATAACTGGGAATAGAATATTATTAAATTTCCTCCCCAAATAAAAATTCTATGACTTTTTATATTTTAAGAATAAACTTTGTTGTAGGTCATTCATCTAGTTTCATTTTTCTCCACAGGAAAAAAATGTTATACAAACTAAGTTGGCAGGTTAACCTAAATAAGCCTAGTTCTGCCCCTGTATCAAGATTTACCGTGTTTTGCCTCCCCTGGGCAGAAAGACGAGAGGAGGCATGAAGGAGGACCGGGGTCTCAGGAGCCAGGTGGAAGTGGGAATGGATAAAACTGCTCGTGGCTGCAGAGGGAGGAAGAAGCAAAGGGAACCCCAATCCCAGGACCCTAGCGAGGTGTGAAGGTGAGGCGGACGAGACCAGCAGGGCAGTGAGTGGGGACTAGAATGGGTACGTACCAGGAATGGGAAGAGGTGAGAAAGGGGGCCCAAAAAGAAGGGTCTGCAATAGAAACAAATATGCTAGAAAGAGGCAGAATCCAGACATTTTCTAGAAGTAGCTGGGCAATTGGGGGCAAAGACTGGAGGAAGATTCAGTGAGGAGACAAGGCACAAAATACTGAAGGTGATCTCTGGCCAACACAGGCAGCAGAGAGAGTCATAAATGTCGAGATTATCCCTTTCTGCCTTTTGTGTTTCCAAGAATGTTTGAACAGCTTTCCTTTCCCCTCCCAGCACTCACTGGGTAAGGCTATTTGTCTTCATTGCCACAGAGTCCTCAGCAGCCTTGCTAACCTTCGGCTCCCTGAAGCAAGAATGTAATCTTTGAAAAGTTTTCTAGAGTTCTGCTTGTGAAAATAGGAAACAGGCAATTGGATGAAGATCTCTTCCCCCTTGTCTTTCATCAGTTTAGGAAAGATGAAGGCCTAGAACGCTAAAATAGGAGGTTCTTAAGTGTATTGACCTTTCAAAAGAAACCCCATTTACCCATTAAGGACCTTTTAGGCACTATGGTAGGCCTTGGGGATACAGATGTGAATACAATATAATATATATGAAGACAGACACGAAAAATAACTAATACTATATGATTATTGCTATTCGAGATGCTTGTATAAAGTCTTATGGGCTCACAGATAGGTTCTGGACAATCTGTTACAGAAAGTGGGAGGAGTAATATAAGATTGAAGGAAGGAAGGACTCCTCAGAGGAGAGGGTAGGGAAGGGTTAACATTACCTCCTCCTTTCCACTGCTTGTCCTATTCCAATAATGCTGCCCAGGACTAGCACTGGCACAAATGCTACAAAAAGAGGAACCAAAACTAGGAGCACTGGGAACAGGCAACAAAAGGAGAAGTGGTAACTCTTAGGGAGAAAAAAAAGGATTACTTGGTTACTGGCTACAGATGCCCTTTCCCAGTGTGGTGGTTTTAAAATATCTAACAAACAGAACAGGCAGAAACAATGTTAGATTTCAGAGAGTAAGTCACAAAAGGCATTGTGATTTCCTCTTTGCTCTCTCCCTTGGATCACTCATTCCGGAGGAAGACAAGTTCCCTGTCATGAGGTCCCTCCAGCAGCTTGCGGAGAGGAAAGAGGCCTCCAGACAACAGCCATGTGCGTGAGCCATCTTGGAAGCAGCTCCTCCCAGCCCCAGGTCTAGCCTTCAGATTACTACAGCCCCTAGACTATGTGAATATCCTGTTTGTCCTGAAAATTTTGCCTATTAATTTTAGCATCCATCAATGGATCTTGTTTGCAATAACTATTACATGGTATTTATCTAATGGTGATTTTCTATTACCGTCTTTCTGTCTACATTTATAAAATGGAATTCTTCTGTAAGGAACAGCCATCCCTTTCTTCCCCTCTATTTGACTTTTATATCTGTATTGATTCATGGATATTTATTTTATTGTAAGGAGTAACAAACCAATACCATTATCATTTATCATGTTGGTCAAAATGTTCCAATTTTGGCAATTAGGAACAGCTTATGGTTGGCTCTTATATTCTTTCAATACATTTTCATCCTTTTTTGAGCACTTCTTGCTTTCTGGCACCACAAAATGTTCCAGGCTCAGCTTGTATTTTCCCTACTTTTTGCCCTGAAATCAACTACTTCTCCAAGGTGCCTTAATTCCTTTTGTTGGGGTATGGTGTTTAGAAACCAAGATCTGAGCGCTATGTGTGCTCATTACTATGAGGATGCCATTGCTTCCAGGATCTCTTAGTGGACAGAGCTACAAAACATATCTATGTATATTAACCCACATTGCATGTACTTCTATATTGTTGGAGGTGCACCTTCAGCATAGACTCCTAGGAGTGGACTTGTTGGGTTAAAAAGTAAGTACATGTGTAGATTCTTTGGTATTTCCATCCAAAAGGGTTATACCAATTTGCATCCCCTCCAGCAATGTATGAAAGCATTGGCTTTCCCACAGTCTCACCCACTTTTAAAACATGTTCTTTCCTTTAAAATTTTTGTCATTCTGATAGGTGAGAAATGATATGTCAGCATTGTTTTAATTTGCATTTCTCTAATAAGCGTGTGAACAGTTTTTAGTATGTCTGAGGGCCATTTTTATATATTTTTTGGTGAATTGTCCGTTCATATCTTATGCGTCTGTTCTTTCACTTATTAGCCATGTGAGCAGAGCCTTAGTTTGCACATATGTTAAATGGCATAATAGTACCTAGTCCCTCAACCTTGCCAGGTTGTTATGATAACTGAATGTGAAAGTAATCTATGAAATTTAAATCACTATATGATATAGCTTTTTAAGCACAAGAATATATAATTACCAAAATAATGTATACTGCTACTTTAGTAAACATGTATAAACATAGCTACTGGTATAAAAGACTATAAACTTTTAAAACATAGGTGGAAAAAATATAAATAACAATACCAGAATCCACTTGCAATGAAAAGGTCTCAAAGTTACACTAAGAATTCCTATTCTGGATTTCTTCACTACTTCTCTGATATGCATACAAATCCTTTCACCACAAACAGAAATCCACAGACTTTAAAGGCTTATAGAAAACCTTGGAATTTTTTAAAAAATGAAACTATATTGATAAAATACAAATAAGCTTTGGTCTCAAATTTGCCTTTCAGAGCCCCTAGGGGTCTCAAGGAAAGATTCTTTACTTGAGTTTATCCAGTAGTAAGGAATGTAGGATACTAATTAATGGAGCAAGAACACAGTCTTGGAGTCAGACAACCTGGGTCTGAATCCCCATTCTCCTCTTTACTAAATGTGCATCCTCAGTTTCCTCATCTGTATAAAGGTGAAAATAATTACTAAGTTTGTAAACTATCAAGCAGATTTCTTGGCACATAGCCTTTTCCAATATATAGCAGTTATTAGTATTCTCATTATTATTAGTAAGTGACATATTTGTAAGTGTGGCCTACAGTAGAAGGCCAGTTAAAAGAAAATTCTCTTTGGCATGCAGCAAAAGGTACTAACACTTTTCTATACTTCAATGGCACAGAAAAGAGGTGGAGGCAACAGCCTCTACAGACAGTGATTCATCCCCTCAAGCCAAGGACACAAAATGGGATGTGACAGAGGAAGCACCTCTCTCCTGAAACACACACAGAAGAGCTCGTGCAAATTAAATGAGGCTACATACAAAGATTATAATACAAAGGTAAGTAAAAGCTGACGCTTGCTACTTCCTATGTAGTTTAGTCTTCTATCCTAGTTTTACAGGAAGAAATGAAGGATCGAAGATTTAAAAATGCTATTTGGTTTAGATCTTATCCTAGGTTTTCAATATTCCAGAGAATTATTTTTGTACCTCCTGCCCACTTTGGCTGGGGGATGCAATTTTTTATCTATGCCCATAAAGGAATGAACTATTTTACACTGAAGCTGAAAAAAATCAAGAATAACCTGTGTTTAAATCTATTACACATTAGCCAGTATAATACCACACGGATATGAGTATTTAACACAGACACTTACATTTTCCAAATAACACAATCTCATAAAGAGTAAGAAAAAGTAGTACTGAAATTCCATGATGTAGTGGGCTTTGGAGTCAGAACTGAGTCTGGATTCTGGCTCTCCACTTTCCAAGTGTTTCACGACGCTGGGAAAATTAGACGCTCTGAGCCTGTTACCTCCTCTGTGAAATGGAGATCATAATACTGTCTCACAGGCTTGTCATGAAGATTCAACAATGTATACAATGCCAAGCTTGATCTCTTGCACAATATGTGGTGCTCCATACATCTTAGTCTTTTCCTTCTCTCTTCTCAATGTAAAGAGAAGAACATAAAGTAGGGTGCAGGATTATAAAGAGAACTAGGCAACTCTTGCTTTAGCTGACACAGCACAGCCTGCTGGCGAGGCTGAGACACCGAATGCCCAGCAAGGTCACAGGCTGCACAAGCAGTGCTGTGATAGCCTCAGGAGAGTGCGCCCTCGGCCAGAAGGCTCTCCGCTGGCAAAACCCCAAGCTCAATGGAATGGCATTTTTAATTATAATGAGGCTGAAATATAACTATATTTCTGTGTGAAAAAGCTTTCAGATATTTCTTCTATTCTTAAAACAGAAAATCTTTGCTCAGTAATTAACTTTGGAAGAGACGATTCATCTACTAGCTAATGAGCTGGTTTGTTTTCTTCCTCTATTAATTTTAATGTACCAATATCTTGCAATAAACATACCATGCAATAATATTTTTTAAAGTTCCTGTGCAAAAATGCTCAGTACTTGAACTATATAAAACAAGGAAGTTATCCATCTGCATAGATGCTAAAGCAACAAAGAACTTTTTCATGTGGCTTTTTAAAGGGCTGTAACTGCGTCTAAAATGTTTCTCTTTTTCTCCTCCAGACTCACAGATCAAAGCATTGTTACTCAGAAATTAGCAAAAGCTAGCAGTCCTGCACAAACTCCAATTCTATTTTTTCAAGGCTCTGGCATATGCAGTCCACACGGCTGAAGATGGAACAAAAAGCCCCTCTGTGTCTAGGCTATTGCTTTTTTAACCATACTGTAAAAGCAAGCTTGGAATGATGGCATGGGCCAGAACCAAACAGGATCTGTCTACTGTACACGGACCAGTATGAAACTTATTTTGTCAAAAGGTAAATGATGAATACTCTTCAACAAAATGATAGGGCCACAGAAACCACGTCAAAGTAATAGACCACAACAGGTTGTCTGGAATGCTCTATCAATGTTATGCCAATTATCATAGTTCAATAAGTCAGAAATACTAAGTCATGATTACATTTTTAATTACTATAAAATATGGGTTTCTTCACAGTGAATTCAGAGTAATTTACAGTTATTCTAAAATAATCTTTAAAACTAATTTAAATTATCTACATGATGCCTTTTACAAAGAGAACTTTTCAACCACTTTTTCAGAATAATGAATTTTTTAAGTGCTGGCTTCTTTAAATACACACGCACTCCATTACATCTTTTACATAATCATCTTCATTCTCATCTATTCAACTTTTACAAAATAAGATTTCACAGTGAATTATAATTTAATAAGATGCTTTATACACAGTAGATCTTCAACTGTTAAATTAAAATAAATTGATTTTAATGAATTTGAATGACCAGAGGCTTCCTCTTCTGCTGGTTTAAATATTCAAGCGTCAGCATCTCTATTTCTGTTGCACAGTTCAGGTAACAAAGAAATTATTACAAGCAATGGGATAGACACTGTGCTAGATGCTTGGGGTACAGAAGTGAAGACACACAGAGTTCCAATCCTTTCTTACTGATTAGTGAAACGATAAAAAATAGTTCATATTCACTGCATGATTACGTAATATTTATGAGTGATAGAATTGTTTTAAATGGATCTTATTTAATTATCACAATAGTGCTATGAAGCAGTAGTATGAACATTACCCTGTTACTGAGACTTAGACAAATTAAACGGCATTTCTAAGCCCAAGATCACAAAACTGTTAAATGGTAGAGCTGGAATTTAAAAGCACGTCTGCTGCTTCACCATGACGATAGTTAGACAGCCTCCCTCAATAGATCATTTCCATATAAGCAGGGCACTCCTACATAATGTAGGATGTGATACTACCCAGCAGGCTACCTGGGTGCTGTGGGGGCCAGAGGACTGGCACTGGGCCCAAGCATCCATGTGTGATGTCAGGAGACAGTGCCAAGGAGACAATATCCCTTTACTTCCTTTAAAAAATCAGATACTCTCGGGCTGTTGGATGCCCAGATGCCCCAAGTCCGAGACCGATGCCATCAGGACTGCAGCGGGAGAGGGGATCTGCTGTCCTCATCTTTCAGTAAAGCTGTTGGTCTAACAAACAAACAAAAAAAGACCAGATAACTGGTGGGGTAGTTCTGACTTAGAGATTTAGGGCAGTGATTTCAAGAAACTCCAATAATTCCTTCAGAGAAGATCCGAGAGAAGAACACTTCATGCTGACTGTCTAGCATGGACTCGGGAATTAGGACAGCATATCTTTCAGCACCACGGCAGCCAGTGTGGAGAGCAAAACGTCATCATTCTGCATCTTACCTTGCGCTGTTGCTCAACTGAACTTGTACCTTTTTTTTCCTTTCCCCAAAACCTTAAGAACATTACTGAAAACTATGACTGACAGAAACTCCAGATTTTTGCTTTACAGTGAACTGACAACATCTTCCAGTCATTGTTAGTATGGCACATTCTTGTCACTATTTAAAAAACTCTAAGTTCTAGAAACAAATTAACAAAAACTTCACTGGCAAAGATTCTGCTCATGGTTCTAGCCCACATACTAATTATTTTTTTAATTTCACATCTCTACCTTTTCAAAAATGGGCGGGAATTCTCTTTTTATTAAATTGATAATTGAAAAAACAGGGTTCACTTCTTCCTCTTAATCACTCCCTATACCCAAATCCTACTCTAAAACTTAGAGAAAATGTACATTGTCCATTTAAAGCTCGTGTTCTCTAGGGGGAACTTTTCTCTTCATCCATCAGCATAGTGAAGTCAAGGCCTGGCCAGCGCTGCAGAAGCCATTTCAAATAATCCTATTAACTCCCTAAGAAAACTTTAAGGCAAGAACAAAGGCCTGATGTGGTGAAAGAAAAACAAAACTGAGGTGATCATTAAGACAGTGGAAAAGAGTCAGATGAGTACACACCAGGACAAAGAAAACAATTTTTGTTATAAACACTTGCAAAAAGACCTCAAAAAGAAGCACCGAACATCTATTTTCTTGAAGAAATACACATTCCAGAGTTATAACTTTACTCTTGAAATAAGGTCTGTACGGACTTTAAATAACAGAAGAATTCTCTCCCATTTTTTCCCGTTATTAGTTTTTGAACCCTGTTTTAGAGCCCTTCTTTTCTCCTTTTTCATTACGCCTTTGATCAGAGATCTGTCCGACAATATCCACGAATAGGATACAGAACACGATTTCAGTGGCATGTTTGGGTCCCTCCCTGGGAAGCAGTCATCATCCCTTCTACTGAAACACAGGACTAATTCCAACCTCTGGGGCTTCTGGTCTGTACTAGAACAAAATTTTTTTAGTACTGAAACTTATTTAAGACTACAAACTTTGCAAATTGTTCCTGTTAAACAATGACCTCAGGGCAGTAGCTGTCAAATTACAGATTACATACATTCATGATTCAGTATAGCACAGTCTGCATTCATCGCTAAGTCAATTAAGATTACAGAATTATTAATTGGTTTCCATCTAGTTTCCATGCTAGTTTGAAGTTCAAATAGTTTCACTGTATGGACTTAAATATTTTCTTAAAAAATAGTAAACAGCAATTCTTTTTCTGACCTTCTAAGCAGATACAGAGAAAACAGGAACAAGAAGCAATAGAAAGAACAAGTGCAGCTATCAGATTTGTGTCTTTTATATGCCATTTGCAAGAAAGAGAAGGGATTTCAGCGTGGGTTTGGGAAATGCCTAGAAGCTGGTTTCTAAAATGGCACCACTACTTGGTATAAACTATTTTTTTTCTGTACAAGGTATTCAATTCCAACAAAGGAAAAATAACTACGACTACTACAGAAAACTGGAGTGATCTCCTGTTATGTGATAAAAGGGCTGGTTTTACATCTTTGTCAGAGTCACAGTGTACATATAATCCACAGGAGTCAAGGAGCTATCATTTCACTCATAGCACAAGTCTTTGGCACACACAATCACTCTTTCTGAGAAAATAAACACTTCACTACTAGAATCTTTAAAGAAAACAACTCTGGGACGGGTATAGACCCCAAGTAATTTCCCATTAGTAGGAAGTTATTCTCTACTAACTTTTGGGTTTACTAGATAGTTTGTACAACAGGATATTCTATAAATCTGTGTCATTTTCCAAATGTTCTTAAAGAATTCATTCACTATTGTCTAATCTAACACTCAAAAATTCCATCTGCTAATGTGGGTGGAATTTTGTTTTCCTTTTTTCCCAATCATTTTATTGAGGTCATAATGGTTTATAAGATTGTATAATTTCAGGTGTACATTATTATTTATCAGTTTCTGTATAGACTGTATCGTGCTCACCATCAGTAGTCTAACTTTTACCTGTCACCATACATATGTCCCTCTTTACCCGTTTCGCCCCCCACGCTAACCCCATTTCCCATCTGGTAACCACTAATCTGTTCTCCTTATCCATGGGGTGGTTTGTCTTCCACGTATGGGTGAATTGATGCAGTGTTTGATTCTTCTTTCTCCGTGTGGCTTATTTCGCTTAACATCATACACTCAAGGTCCATCCACGTTGTTGCAAATGGGACGATTTTGTCTTTTTTATGGCTGAGTAGTAAGCCATTGTGTATATACATATATATACACACACACACCATATCTTTATCCATTCCTCAGGCGATGGGTACTTAGGTTGCTTCCACAACTTGTCTACAGTGAATAATGCTGCAATGAACATAGTGGTGTATAAATCTCTTTGAATTGCTGATTTCAAGTTCTTTGAATAATACTCAGTAGTGGGATAGCTGCGTTGTATGGTAGTTTTTGATTTTCAAATTTTTTGAGAAATCTCCATACTGTTTTCCATAGTGGCTGCACCAGTTTGCATTCTCACCAGCAGTGTACGAGGATTCCCTTTTCTCCACATCCTGTGGAGAACATAAGATGTTCTCCACAACAATAACATGTTATTTTTTCTGTTAAATATAGCCATTCTAACAGGTGAGAGGTGACATCTCATTGTAGTTTTGACTTGCATTTCCCTAATAATTAGTGATGTTGAACCTTTTTTCATGTGCCTGTTGGCCATCTGTATATCTTCTTTGGAAAAATGTCTGTTCGTATCCTCTGCCCATTTTTTGATTGGGTTGTTTATTTTTTTCTTGTTGAGTTGTATGAGTTCTTTATACATTTTGGAGATTAACCCTTTGTCAGATACATGATTTGCAAATATTTTCTCCCAGTTGGTGGGTTGTCTTTCGTTTTGTTTACGTTTCCTTTGCCTTGCAGAAGCTCTTTAGTCTTATGTAGTTCCATTTATTTATTTTTTCTTTTGTTTCCCTTGCCCGAGCAGACATGGTATTCAAAAAGATGCTGCTAAGACTAATCTCAAAGAGTGTACTGCCTATATTTTCTTCTATAAGTTTTACGGCTTCAAGTCTTAGATTCAAGTCTTTAATCCATTTTGTGTTAATTTTTGTGTATGGTGTAAGATAATGATCTCCATTCATTCTTTTGCATGTGGCTGTCCAGTTTTTCCAATGCCATTTATTGAAGAGAACTTCCTTTCTCCATTGTATGTTTTTGGCTCCTTTGTCAAAGATTAGCTGTCTGTAGATGTGTGGTTTTATTACTGGGCTTTCAATTCTGTTCCATTGATTTGTGTGTCTGTTTTTTGTTCCAGTACCATGCTGTTTTGATTACTGTAGCATTGTAGTATATTTTGAAGTCAGGGATTATGATGCCTCTAGCTTTGTCCTTTGTCTCAGGATTCTTTTGGCTATTTGGAGTCTTTTGTTGTTCCATATAAATTTTAGGATTTTTTTGTTCAATGTCTGTGAAGAATGTCATTGGGATTCTGATACGGATTGCACTGAACCTGTAAATTGCTTTAGGTAGTATGGACATATTAACTATGTTTATTCTTCCAATCCATGTGCATGGAACATCTTTCCATTCTTTATGTTGTCTTTGATTTCTTTCAATAATGTCTTATAGTTTTCAGTGTATAGGTCTTTTCTATATATAGGATCATGTCATCAGCAAACTGCGAGTTTCACTTCTTCCTTTCCAGATTGGATACCTTTTATTTCTTTTTCTTGCCATATTGATCTAGGCAAAACCTCCAGTACCATGTTGAATAGGAGTGGTGAGCGTGGGCACCCTTGTCTTGTTCCTGTTCTCAGAGGGATGGCTTTCATTTTTTCACCATTAAGTACGATGTTAGCTGTGGGTCTGTCACATGTGCCCTTTATTATATTGAGGTACTTTCCTTCTATACCCATTTTATTGAGAGTTTTTACCATAAATGGATGTTGGATCCTGTCAAATGCTTTCTCTGCATCTATTGAGATGATCACGTAGTTTTTATTCCTGATTTTGTTAATGCGGTATATCACACTGAGTGATGTTGAACCATCCCTGCATTCCTGGTATAAATCCCTCTTGATCATGGTGTATGATCCTTTTAATGTACTGCTGTACATTAAACCATGCTGTACATTTGGTTTGCCAATATTTTGTTGAGAATTTTTGCATCTATGTTTATCAGCAATATTGGTCTGTAATTTTTCTCCTTTGTGTTGTCCTCGCCAGGTTTCAGTATCAGGGTAATGTTGGCCTTACAGAATGAATTAGAAATTGTTCCATCTTCTTCAATTTTTTTAAATAGTTTGAGAAGGATGGTATTAAATCTTCTCTGAATGTTTGGTAGAATTCTCCAGAGAAGTCATCTGGTTCTGGACTTTTGTTTTTTGGGAGGTTTTTGATTATTGTTTCAATATCTTTACTTGTGTTTGGTCTATTCAGATTCTCTGTTTCTTCTTGATTCAGATTTAGGAGGTTTTATGAATCTAAGAATTTATCCATTTCTTCTAGATTGTCCAAGTTGTGTGCTTATAGTCTTTCATAGTATTCTCTTATAATCCTTTGTATTCCTGCAGTATCTGTTGTAATATCTCCTCTTTCATTTCTAATTTTATTTACTTGAGTCTTTTCTCTTTTTTCCTTAGTCAGTCTGGCTACGGGTTTGTCGATTTTGTTTATCTTCTCAAAGAACTAGCTCTTAGTTTCATTGATCCTTTCTACTGCTTTTCAGTCTCTATTTATTTCTGCTCTAATTTTTAATATTTCCCTCCTTCTGCTGACTTTGGGCTTTGCTTCTTCTCCTTTTTCTAGTTCTGTTAGGTATAGTCTAAGGTTACATATTTCAGATTTTCTTGTTTGTTGAAGTGGGCAGGTATTGCTTGAATTTCCCTCTTAGGATCGCTTTTGCTGCATTCCATAAGAGTTGGTATGCTGTATCTTCATTTTCATTTGTCTCCAGGTATCTTTTAATTTCTCCTTTGATTTCTTCATTGATCCAATGGTTGTTTAGTAGCATGTTGTTTAGTCTCCACGTTTCGGACTTTCCCAGCTTTTTTCTTGTAGTTGATTTCTAGTTGCATACCTTTATGGTCAGAAAAGTTACTTGATATGATTTCAATCTTCTTAAATGTATTGAGGCTTGCTTTGTTTCCCAACCTATGGTCTATGTGCACTTGAGAAGAATGTATATTCTGCTGTTTTTGGATGGAATGTACTATATATACCTATTAAGCCCATCTGATCTAGTGTTTCATTTAAATACACTATTTCATTGTTGACTTTCTGTGTGGGATAACCTATCCAGTGAGGTAAGTGAGGTCTTGATATCCCCTACTATTATAATGTTGCTGTTAATTTCTCCCTTTAGGCCTGTTAACAGTTGCTTTACACAGTTTGGTGCTCCTGTGTGGGGTGCATATATATTCATAAGTGTTACATCCTCTTGATGCAATGTCCCTTTTATCATTATACACTGCCCCTCTTTGTCTCTCATTGTCTTTTTTATCTTGAAGTCTGCTTTGTCCAATGTAAGTATGGCAACATTTGCTTTCTTTTGCTAGCCATTTGCTTGGAGTATTGTCTTTCATCCCTTCACTCTGAGCCTATGTTTGTCTTTAAAGCTGAGATATGTTTCCTGGAAGCAGCATATTATTGGGTCTTGTTTTTCAATCCATCCAGCTACTATGTGTATTTTGATTGGAGAATTCAATCCATTTATATTCAGAGCTACTACTGATAAATGAGGGTTTAATTAATGCTGCCATTTTATCTTTTGTTTTCCAGTTGTTCTATATTTCCATTGTTCCTCCTCCCTGGTATTTCTGACTGGCATTTCAGCTTGGTGGTTTTCTGTGATGGTTTTCTCTTTGTTTATGAATTGTGGCTCTGCTCTGATTTTTTGTTTAGTAGTTACTGTGAGGCTTGTATTAAAGATCTTACAGATGAGATAGTCCATTTTCTCATAGCCTCTTATCTCCATTAGCGTAAGCAGATTCCATCCCTATCCTCTTCCCTTTCTGAATTATTGTTGTCACAAATCATTCTGTTTTGTTGTGAGTTTGTTACTAAATTGATGTGTTAAGTTATTTCTAATGTTTTCCTTCCTTTTATTATTTGTTATAATTAAGTGTTTGCTAACCTGTTCTGATAAAGAGTTGCAGTTTTCTGATTTTGCCTGTCTTTTTATCTCCTTGCTCAAAGCTTTCTAAACCTTTGCCTTTTCATTTCAGGTATGACGGTTTCCTTATCATTTCTTGTAAAGGGGGGGTCTAGTGGTGATGAACTTCCTCAGCTTCTGTTTATCTGGGGAAGCTTTTAGTTCTCCATCGTACTTGAAGGAAATTTCACTGGATAGAGTATTCTTGGCTGAAAGCTTTTGTCTTTCAGTATTTTGAATATATCATTCCACTCTCTCCCAGCCTGTAAGGTTTTCGCTGAGACATTTGCAGGAAGCCTGATAGGAGTACCTTTATTGATTATTTTCTGCCTTGCTGTCCTTAATATTTTTTGTCATTGACTTTTGCCAGTTTTACTATTGTATGCATTGGAGAAAGTCTTTTTGCATTGATGTAATTAGAAGTTCTATTGACTTCATGTACTTGTAAGTCCAGTCCCTTCCCCAGGT